TGAAGGAGACGCGAGGAAGAGGGAGACCGGCCCAATGTTCCGCCGGTGCCCCGGCCCCAAATGTTTCCCTAATATTTTTTGTTGATTTAGTATAACCTTGTCCTGTGATAATTAATATGGATCGAAGGACTTTGTATTAATTCAACGACAATTAATATGAATCGGAGAGAGTATAATAAGACCGTGACCATGACCCGCAGGTCTTGGTAGAAATCAGTCAAGCCCCCAAGAAGGGTGGGGGTATAGCCCATGCAAATGACCGAAACAATAATACTTCGCGATGTGTGGTAACAAGCCGAAGACATGAACCTTAGAGCTCCAGCCGTTGCCCCCCCCCCCCAAGGACGCATAAAAATCGTCCCCTGGGGGCGAGCTGGCGATTCGTTCGGCGCTGGGGACGGTTTTGCGCTCAATCGTCGCCCCCAGGCGTCGATGTTGGCCCACTTTTGAAGCCCCATTTCGACGAAAAGGGCCCATATGGACGAGAATAGACCCATATTCAGCGTGGTTCGCCGTGGCTCGGCATTCAATTATCAACATAAATATTTTTTTAATCACATATTTCATCACAGAAAAATCACATACTTCAACAAAATAGTACAACAACAAATAGTTCAATACAAATTATATAGTTCAACAAATAAAAACTCATATTTCATCACATGTCGCGCCCGGCGTCGCCCTTGAGCCTCCATAGGTGCTCTATCAGATCTTGCTGCAGTTGATGATGCACCTGTGGGTCTCGGATCTCCTGACGCATACTGAGGTAGGCAGTCCAGGTTGCCGGTAGCTGGTGATCAATTTGGGCAAGAGGACCCTACCTGTGGTATGGTTCAGTGTCAAACACTGGCTCTTTCTGCTCGCTCTCAATGATCATGTTGTGCAAGATGACACAGCAGGTCATGATCTCCCACATTTGATCTTTCGACCAGGTCTGAGCGGGGTACTGGACAACAGCAAATCGAGATTGGAGCACACCAAATGCCCGCTCGACATCCTTCCTGCAAGCCTCCTGAATCTTCGCAAACCAGGCGTTCTTGCCTCCAGGCACAGAGTTTTTGATGGTCTTCACAAATGTCGACCATCTCGGATAGATGCCATCAGCTAGATAGTACCCCTTGTTGTAGTGTCGCCCATTGACCTCGAAGTTCACCGGAGGAGAATGATCTTCAACAAGCGTGGCAAAGACAGGAGATCACTGCAGCACGTTGATGTCATTGTGAGTTCCTGGCATACCAAAGAAGGAGTGCCAAATCCAGAGGTCCTGTGTGGCCACCGCCTCAAGTACCACACTGCAACCGCCTTTGGCGCCTTTGTACATCCCCTGCCAAGCAAATGTGACGCCCGAATAATTAAGCTACAGTAATCCTCTGTTAATGGTGACACATCATCACATTACTGTTGCTAATCCTCACTTGATCCAAATCACTGTTCAGATTCAAACTCAAATTTAAAGTCAAAATTCAAATTTGCCAAACATGAAAACTAAAATGTTCAAAGTGTGGCAAATAATCCCTGGGTGTTTGTCATGTTGGAACCAACCTCTTTTGAATTCCGAAAATGCCCCTGGAAATTCTTTAGTGGTCCAACATTATATTAAATGACCTTTTCAACCTCAAAAAAAATGCTTGAACCATTCCTTTGGCCCTGAAACTTTTTAGGCAACACCACAATATTGTGCCTGAACTATTTGCTAAGTTTCACACTCGACAAAAATCTTTTGATGCCTTCTTTCTATCCAAAATAGTAGCTATCCTTTTGTTAGAAAATAAAAGAAATAAAATTACAAAAAAAGGAAATCCCCTCCCACTGGGCCGTGACCCAGCTGGCCCACCAAGGCAAACCCAGCGGCCCAGCCGAGCTCCCCTCTCTGTTCGTCCTCTTCCTGTTCATTGGGAGCAACCGACCGCGCCCGCGGTCGCCACCGGACCCCCTCGCCGGCAGCGCCACGGAGGGGATAAGGGCGAGGCCGACGCCTCGGGCCTCCTCCCCCACCTACCTCCACCCATTCGCTTCCCCCCCCCTTGGCCACTCCTCTCTCCCCTTTGCCTAGCCCGGATCCACTTTCCCCCTCCTCGCCCGACGCA